AGATTTCTAAAACACTTAATCCCATTCACCCTTTTCTTTTCTCTCTTAACCACCATTCCATCTTCGTTCTCTTCTCCTACCTTAAAACTTCCAGCAATTAAGGTTCTAGCTATCAACGTAACCTTAAAAAACAACTATATATTAAGGAACAGTTTGAGGGAGAGAGAATTGAAAGATATATATTTGGGATAATTATAGTATGTTAGAAATTTTCCTTGCAAGAAGAAATAGGGTGGATCGGAGGAGGTGAAAAATAAGTTCAGAGAGAGAGAGAGAGAGAAGAAGATGAGGATGTCAAGTTGCATTAGAAATCTCTAACATGAGGAAAATGCAAATTGGTTAATTATTTAATTTAAAAAAATATCTTAATTAAATAATCAATTAATCTGGGCATCTCTGTAGCTCTTTTAAATGGGAGATTACACATTTGAACCTCTACTAAGCAAGTATAAATAAATAGAGTTACACATTCATTATTAGTTATAATTTTTGATATAGTAGTACGTAAATACTTTAATGTGACAATTGATAAGCATATCATAAATTATATTGTTATACAAGTATATAGAAATAAAGGTATGGATAACAATCCATCCAAAATCTAATGCGGAGGGATAGCATTTAGGTCCCACGGGGAAGCGTCCTTATATAAATCATAAATGGTTTGCATGCATGCATACCACTGCTATACTAATGTAGTAGCAAGTACTATACATACCTACTAGTAGCTCTGTCGCTACTTTTAACTCTTCTCATCTGCAAATCATCGCCAAATTAAATTACCGTGTCCCATTCTGTATTATTTTGCTCTTTTTCCCCTTTCTTTCTTAATTTTTTTTTTAAAAAAAAAAACTACAAAATTAGAACTTGTGATCATTTCATTCCAATATTATCATCAGTAAAAATAAGCCGCACTCTATTAGAAGGAAATTTCAAAATTTACAACTCAAAATATCCTTTACACGTGCATATATGTTGTATTTAATTTGTACAAAAAGAAATTCTCTCTACACATTTATAACATAAAAATTTGGTTAGACTTAATTTTCTGCACAATATATCCTAAGTAGAACTATGGCCATACCATATACAGTAGGTCTACGTTAGTTAGTGGTGTTGATGTAAAGAAAGCGTCATCGTAGCATCATCATCTTATGTTTAATGTTTTTAATTTTTTTGTTTTGCCTAATTTTGATTAATTTGTGTGGGACTGTGGGGAATACTTCCCATCAGACTTCCTTTTTATGTTTTAACCACTTTTGTCTCTAGTTATAACATGACAACACAAATCAAAATCGGCAGACCCACACAAGAGATTCGATATAGATTTTGAGACAACGTAACTAATCATCACTTTTCTCAGATGGATGACCTTTCAGGTTATTTAGTGGTTAAGTCTCTTCAATTATAATTTTGTAAGGAATTAAAAAAAAAAAACACTTTTAGGTTGGTATTTGTTTTATTATGTTATTCAATAATGGTAATAATTTTTAGTGAGGCCAGTTTTGAGTATGAACAAAGCGAGTTAATTATTACATTAGGTTCTGAATTATATATAGTTGTTGTATATGCAATTTTTTAAGATGTTAAATAGCCCGTATGTCTTTTATACTATGAATAATTATGTATGTTATTTGAATTGTATACATATGCTACTATCAATACATATGATAAACTAAGATGTTAAATAGCACGTATGTCTTTTATAATGGACTTCATTATATGAAAATGTTTAACTAAGATGTTAGCATAATGTGTTATTATTAGTCAATTCAATAGGAATTTTTTTTGATAAATAAACTAATAATAATGCAATATGACACATCATTTGATTAAAAAATAATTAATTTTGAAAACATTTGATAAAAAATTTTATTCACTTGCTAATTGTAATTTATGTCTCGAAAATATTTGAGTGTTTATCTTTCCCTATCTTAGCTTCTTTGGCCTTTTACATTTGGCGCTTCTTTGTTGCGTCAAATAACAGATAACATTAATAGAAAGTTTTGCAAGAAACTCTTTTCTTCACATACATACGAGTTGAGCGGTTTGTGGTTTGACAGGTTTTAATTTCTTTGTTTTTTTATATCAATGCAATGAATATATGTATTGTTATCTCTCAACTAGGAAAATGACATTTCTCGATCTTATCATTATTATCATTAAGTTAAAAGGTTGTTGACAGTTTTAGTGGATTCAAATCAATTGCTTACAATTCATATTAAAAAGAAATTGATTTTTGTCGGGACAACACCAACCGAATTGGTCAATTTAATAATAACAAGGTTCTAAATTAATTTAATTCTATATGAGAACTGTTTAAGTGTCTATTGGCCTTTTTGATTTGAGACGGTTATTAATGGACAATCTAGACTGGTTTACCTATCATAATATCATTATTGATTTGAACTGATTAGTCTAAGTTTACCCGACAATTTTAAATTGTATTTCACCCGAAGAGACTGAACATTCTCGCAAATAAAAGAAATTGATTTTTTTTCTAATGGAAATGCTAAAAACATGTAAAGAACCCAGAAACAAAAAGCCAATTTGACTTACTCAGCACTGAAATGAAACTTTGCAAATTTTCAATAATAATAGAGTAATTAATATTGCAGGTATGTACCTCAACTATATTAAAGTTCTCACCTAACGCTATAATTGATTTACTGTTTAATAAATGGATCTCATAATTTAATAATTAACTAATTATAAACATAACATTTGGCATAATATATGTCAACTAAGTGCTAACCCATTAGGATGTGAATAATAGACCTTTCTTCTAACTTCATCAGATGTCTTGCGTTCGAGTCTGGTCAAATTAAAAAGAAAAAAAAAAAGATTATATGTCAATTGGGATTGGTTGAGTTGATAAAGATTATTAAAACTCTGAAATATTGGATCAATCTTTACTAAATAATTATATTTACACGATGCATGATGTGATATGTGATATATATATATATATCATGGTTGTTTATATATATTTATATATATGGTAACATTATTGCGAGATAATTGTATAAAATCACGTGTAAAACCCTAAAAAAGACTTTTAATTCGGACACCATATATATATATATATATATATATATATATATATATATATATATATTGTCCTTCAAGGATTTGAGTCGTCAATTCATCATATTGTCAGCATTCTCGAAGAAGCTATGCCCCTGAAATTTGCACTGATTCTGAACCATTTTTGCATTTTCTTCCAACAGAATATACTCAAGTAATTCAAACTTGTAATAATTCATTTCTGGATTTTTTTTTTTTCTGCGTGAAAAGTCATGCAGCAATGAAATGTTACCAGGAATTTCCATATGAACATTTGCTATTTGGAGGGTGAACAATAATCTAAACGTCTTAATTAACTTGTCAACCAATATAGAAAAGGTTAAAATTTTGCTTTGTTAGTAATCGTCAAAGAAAAAAAAAATGAAATTAATCTTATTGTTATGAAATGTTATCAGGAATTTCCATATGAACATTTGCTACTTGGAGGGTGAATAGTAATCCAAGAGTATTAACAGCTTAACTTGTCAACCAATACAAAAAATGTTATAAATTTTGCTTTGCTAGCAACCATTAAAAAAAATGAATGAAATTGATCTTGTTGTGGACACTAGTGTACAAATAAACATTATTTGAGACCTATAGGTCAGTTGAGACACATTTCAAAATTTATCTCTTCCACCAATCTCTAGAGTAGGAGCAATGAGGTGTACTTAATTGGGACTCATAGTTAGTTAATAATCCAAGAGTGTCAATCTTTTGACATGTTTAAGAAGCCTTAATTAAGATCAATCATTATTGTTAAACATTTTTACCCATTGTTTGAAGGTTTCTATGGCATTAGACTTTATTATATGGTAGTATTGATTGCTTTATGATACTTCCTTAGCATCTCTCATTCATTCTTTCTTCTTCTTAGAAAAAAATTATAAGTTTGTTTAAATTTATTGGAATAAGACATTTCAAAAAAAAAAAAAACAAAAAAAACAAAAAAAAAAAAAAAAACCTTTTGTTTTGCTATTAAAAACAAAAAGAAATATCGAATAATTCAATGAACTTGTAAGTTTAATGGACAAAAAAATGTACAATTGTAATATCGAATAAACAAAGATTGTACATGCAATTGGGTTATTTTACCAGCAAACTATAACTATATAAGTTTTTCGTTAACTTTTTCAAAAAAAAAAAAAAAAAAAAAAGTTTTTTGTTAACTAATGATGTGACATGTTACTTGACCTACAAAATGATTTTTTGTATTTGACTTATAAGTCTTATTTATTATAATTTATTTTTAAAATGACATTTTTTGTCTAGACAAAGTGGCCAGGGCTCTTCAGAGAGTCCCCCCCACCCCAAATGCAAAATGGTGTTGCACAACACATTAATAATAAAGCCACTTTTTAATTTTTTAATTTTTTTTTTATGAGTAAAACCAACATCACTAAACAAGAGTGTGTACTAGGTAAACAATGCTCCTGTGTAATATCTTGCAAATCACATTGAGAAAATCCTGTGTGACAAGCTAGACCAAAAAGGTGTTGACAAGAATCCGAATTAATGATCTTTTAGTACGAGAATGCTCTAGTTTGGGACATTTTTTTTTTACTTCATTTCTACTCTATGTTGATGTGGCACATGCATTATACCCATAAAAGAAAAGGTCTATAATTATTTTATCAAATAAAAGTTAAAAAATATAATTGAAATAACAAATTTTAAGTATACTAAGCCTTTTTTCAAAAATTTGATGAAATTTCCATGACTGTATTCAGAGACATAGAGCCCAAAATTACAATTTGATGGGAATAACAATTTCTAAAAGTACACATTTTCTTTAGTGTAATAAGAGAGCCAGAGCCCAAAAATAGCATTTGCAAAATCGTACATTGGATCAAACTTGCGGGCCGAAAATGAAAGCCCGAAAATATGGACAAAAGGATACCCACAAAGTGAAGTTGTGGAGAAGAGAGTGGCTGCATCATATCACTCACTTCCCCTCCACAAATCAAATTTATGAATTATCCTCTATGATCTATCCAATTTCTGTGTTTCATCCCCATCCCCACGTTAAACCAAAACCATTTTTTCTTAATAACCCTAAAATCACTCCAAAAATTGGAAAAGATTACCCTGCACAATGATAATAAACCTCTCTTCTTCCCCCCCTGCTTCTTCTTCTTCTTCTTCAGCTTCATGCCTCAGTAGATTAGCAAGTTCGAAGGCGCCCATTTCAGAATTCCCTCTAAGAAGCAAATCCCAGATTTCAAAATCCTCACTTCACTGCTCTTTTTCTTCTTTACGCTTATTCAAGAATGGGGGAAGGAGGAAAAGATTCAAGCTTCAGGCAATAGGAGGGCTGGATTTTGGTGGGTTTGAGGGTGCGCAGTCAGTTCTTGAGGCAGCTGGAGTGTTGACCGCTATCATCATAGTCCATGAAAGCGGTCACTTCTTGGCAGCTTATCTCCAGGGAATTCATGTAAGTAAGTTCGCGGTTGGGTTTGGTCCAATTTTAGCTAAGTTCAATTCCAAGAATGTGGAGTATTCAATTAGAGCATTTCCTTTAGGTGGTTTTGTTGGGTTTCCTGATAATGATCCTGATAGTGATATCCCACCAGACGATAAGAATCTGCTAAAAAATAGGCCTATTTTTGATAGAGTGCTTGTTATTTCAGCTGGAGTGATTGCTAATATAGTGTTTGCTTATGTTATAATCTTCACACAAGTGCTCTCAGTTGGATTGCCTGTGCAAGAGGCCTTCCCCGGCGTGCTTGTACCAGATGTTAGGCCATTTTCTGCTGCTAGCCGAGATGGCATAATCCCTGGGGATGTTATTCTAGGTGTTAATGGAATTGAACTTGGGAAAACTGGGCCTAATTTAGTTTCTGAGGTTGTTGATGTTATTAAGAACAGCCCGAAAAGAAGTGTGTTGCTTAAGATAGGGAGGGGAAAACAAAATGTTGATGTTTATGTTACTCCTGATATGAATACAGATGGTACTGGTCGAATTGGAGTACAGTTAACCCCGAACTATAAGCTTTCCAAGGTTAGCCCTAGGAATATATTTGAAGTTTTCAGCTTCTCGGGGCGTGAGTTTTGGGGACTCACATATAATGTGTTGGACAGCTTGAAACAGACGTTTTTAAACTTCTCTCAAACTGCTAGCAAGGTTTCTGGTCCGGTTGCTATTATTGCTGTTGGTGCTGAGGTTGCAAAGTCAAATATAGATGGTCTATACCAATTTGCTGCGCTTTTGAACCTTAACCTTGCAGTGATAAACCTTCTTCCTTTGCCTGCTTTGGATGGGGGTTCATTGGCTTTGATTCTCATAGAAGCAGCTAGGGGTGGGCGGAAGCTTCCTTTAGAATTAGAGCAGCGGATTATGTCATCTGGAATCATGTTTGTCATAATTCTTGGACTATTCCTTCTTGTTCGGGACACACTAAATCTCGACTTCATCAAGGATTTATTGTAATGATTCAGCAAAATGTTTCCCGGCTAGGAAACCATCTGATTGTAAATGCGACAATGCCTCAAAGGCAAAAGAGTTGCCTATGGTTAGTTGATTTAAACTTGTCGTCTCCTAAATATTCAATGGCAGGAAGCTCTTGACCTCATCTCGTCCTTGATAGTGATCCAAGTTTAAAGTGTACTAGTAGTTTGCTGCACTAAACGTGGAGAATTGAGCTAGGTATCCACCATATGATACTTTACCTGCATATTTGTACCATTAAAACCCGTTACATTTACATTTTTATGGATCACATTGAGTCTGAATACTTGGAATAGATTGTTCCTCTCAAATCTTTTGATAATTGTCTCCATGGGTGTCTATCTGTTGACCTAAAACCTGGCATGTTTACTGTAACATCAATTCTTGAAGTGAAATTTTCTTCTGTGTGATGAGAAGCCTTTTAGATTTTGAGGTCTGTTTCTTTTCCTGTGGCATTTACATTAGTCTGGGCTGATGAATTTATTGATTATTAAAGGGAGGTCTTTGAATCTGCAGTTATGATCTGTTTTCTTCAAAGCCATAATGTCAATTCAGTGAATGAACTACTTATGTTTTAGTCTCTGTCCTGTTCTCATGTTCAATTTTCTTTGGGAGCTAACCCTCCTGCAATTTCAGTAACAATTGCAGCATTATATGTTGTACTTATCTGGATATTTCTCAGTGAAACATGAAGGATTTCATTCACTCTAATCAAGCCATTATATCCAATTTTGAGTTGAGATCTGTCATTCAGAAATTTTGGATATCATTTTCATTCCAAACCTTCATTCGACTGCTTTTTTTTTTTTTTTTTTTTTGGGGGGGGGGGGGGGGTGGGTGGGGTGTGGGGGTGACAAGTGAAACCGCAGGCTGTAATTACTATCTGAATGTGTGCACTAAGTAAACTAGTTTGACAAAAATATATACATACATACACTCTAATGTAAAGGACTAGCCCGCATATAATAACCAATTTTCTTAAAATTTAAAAGGAAAAATCACCATTTTAGTCCCTCAATTGTTTCTCAACTGTCCATGTAGCCCGACCCCTAGTTTTCAATTTCAACTAATTTGATCATTGAATTCTTTAAAATTTTTCAATTAAACCCTTCCGAGAGACCAAAATGGTGATTTCTATATTTTTAAAATTTCATCAATTTGATCATCGAATAATTTAATTGACGAAATTTTAAAAATTAGAGACTACATTGATAATTGAAAAACAATTGAGGGATTAAAATGGTAGTTTTCCCAATTTAAAATGTGGTGCATTGTTGTGAACTGCAGTTGACAACAAAAGGATAATTTATGTCAGAGTTTAATATTTAAGATATGCTTGAGAGTTGAGACAGACCTTTTATTTACCAAACTATTGATACTCGGCAACAACAATATCGTATCTGAATGACTTCCAATTCAGTTAGTTTTTGAGTATCTATAATCGACTGTGCGTAACACAGCTAACACTACTTCTTGAATCTATTGCATGGATTTTTTAAAATAATTATTAGGAAAGCTTATAATGTGAATCAATATTAGTTTTGATTGTACTTCTGTATCGGTTATTATTAATAATGATTCTAATTGTATACTTGATTGATTTTAGTCTTATACATTATTTATCGAGTACTTTCAGCATAAGTGTTGATTAAAATGTTGACATTTTTTAATTATTATATGATTTTTAATGATAATTCACCGGCTAACAACTCATTAAGAATTGATAGATTTAGGAAAAATGTATCAAATACGTACGGAGTATGTCATTAAACTTATCTTTTTTTTTTTTTGCAACTGAGCTATTATTGAACTTAAAAAGTGTGCAATTGAGCCATTAAATAAAAAAATTTTGTGCAATTGAGACATTTTTTAGATTATTTTTAATACAATTTGAGTTGAAACCATTTTAATCTTTCCTCCCAACTAGTATGACTTAGGAAAGGACAGCTATTAGTATACACCATGTAAACAATATGCATGATCGGATTACACTGGAAAAAAAAATAGAAGATAGTCCCAATTGCACATACTTTCCTTATTTTATGGTTTGATTGTACACATTTTAAGTTCAATGACCAAATTGCACAGAATCAATAAGTTCAGTAGCTGAAAGTTGAATTGTGTAAAGTGGTGATAGAGTGTGTGAGACAGGGTATCCTCACACCAGATATCGTCTCAAGGGGTGGACCGGAAGGGGATTGAATAGTAGGTGGTTAATGACAAAAGTGTAAAGCAAAATAAAGGAAAACTAGTTCAACTCCTAGCTGGAGTGACTTATTGACATTAGGTAGTGATTGCGTGTTTCTCGTCACTCAAAAAAAAATAAAATACAATCACTAAATATGCACTTTTGGTAAAACTTATATTGTGATCTTAGCTAACAAATAATCATATTTTCAAAAAAAAAAAAAGTTAACAAATAATCATAAAGAGATAAATTAATTTTTTTAAAACAAAAAATAAACCAATTTAAATTATTCATAATTAATCAGCTCAAATAATAACAATTAAAAAAAAAAAAAGACTAATAAACAACTCACATATAGAGTACAACTTTAAACTTTTAGTTGCAAGTAGGAAACTCTCATCCTTATACTATACGAAAGTTCATATGAAAAAAAAAAAAAAAAAAAAAAAAGGAAAAGGAAAAATAATAATAATAATAAATGAAATAATTACGGAGGTGAGAATTGAAAAAGAGTGGAGAAAGAAAACTGCGCAAAAAAATGTAGCATGAGCCATGAAGCTTGCAAGCCGGGACGAGAAGTAAGCTCACGCCTATCATTCTATAAATCCTCCACAGCCTCCTCTCCGCTCTCACTCTCATTCCTCTCTCTCTCTCTCTCTCTCTCCCGCACTCTCTTTCACCTGGTTCTCTTTTCTCCATACATTTTCTTCTTCTTCTTCTTTTTTAAACACACACAATAAAAATCGCGCGCCCTTAAATTCCAATTAATTAAATTAAACCAAATAACCGAAGAGCAAAGCTGCACGGTGTTGCCACGTGTGTTGATGGCCCCGGATGGCGGAGGAATGAATAACGGCGGTGGAGCGTCGGGGAGGACCGGAGGCGCGCGGCAGATGCTGAAGAAAGGGCCGTGGACGGCGGCGGAGGACGCGATTCTGATGGAGTACGTTAAGAAGCACGGCGAAGGGAATTGGAATGCGGTGCAGAGGAATTCTGGATTGATGAGATGCGGTAAGAGTTGCAGGTTAAGGTGGGCTAATCATCTCAGACCTAATCTCAGAAAAGGCGCTTTTTCCCCCGAAGAAGAACGCCTCATCGTCGAGCTTCACGCTAAGCTCGGTAACAAATGGGCTCGCATGGCCGCTCAGGTTCACTAATATCCATTTACATATACTATTTATTGGTCAAATTTATTATTTTTTTTTGTTTTTAATAATATCTCATTAATTAAATCAGACACATAAAATGGACCGTATTAATATTTTATATATGTAATTTGTTGTTGTTGGGAATTTGGTAGTTGCCTGGAAGAACAGATAACGAGATCAAGAATTACTGGAACACTAGGTTGAAGAGAAGACAGAGAGCCGGATTGCCTATATATCCTCAAGAAATTCAACCGCAAAACACATATCATCATCCCAACCAGATTCTAATACAACAAACTCGATCCAGCCGTTCATCGTCTCCACTGTCAGCGCTTTTATCAGCTCCGCCGCCGCCGACGCATCACCTGCCCAAGCCCGCCCCGTATAATCCCCCTCCGTCTATTTACGACCATATGTTCGATTCTCCGGCGGCGACCATGAAATCTCCTCCGACAACGGCTCTCCAGGGCCACAACTCTCATTTCAAGTTCTTCTCAGCCCCTCCGGGTGGCCTCGCTTTAACATTGGCGGCCTCGTCTAATAAACCCAACCAGTTCTCTTCCCCTGTTACGCCGCCATTGCCGAAACATTTCAACGCGCCGTTGCCAATTCCGTCACTCCCGTTTAGCGCCGCTCTCCATCCCGCCATGTCTTCCTTCTCCGCCGTCTTCGCCGGCCCCACGGGAGCGAACTTGCAAGAGCGACCTTCAATCCAAACCCCCGTGCCGGCGTCCACTCCGACCACATCGTCCGGGATCACCGGGAGCCTTTACCCGGCGCCGAGCGACGACGCTAATGACTATGAAGTTCTCCCGGGCTTACCGCGAAGCAACAGTGGGTTATTGGAGGATTTATTGCACGAGTCTCATGCTTTGACGCGCGACGACGTCGAGAAAATTAACAAAGATTCCTCAGACGGAAAAGGGAAACAAAAATCTACGTCGTACGAGTACGAAGCTTTGCTGGGAAATCCAACACCGCCCTCCGTCCATGAACAAGCAGTCTATAGTTTTGGCTATGAAGGTTCAATCCCTTATAATTCATCATTTTTCTTAATAATCAATTAATTGGTATTATTAGTAATTTTTTTGTTAATGTATAGGCGAAGCAGCTTCAGCCAAGGAAACTAATAGTCCGGTGGACGACGACATATTGAGTCTTCTTGACAATTTTCCACTGGCTTTACCAGTTCCTGACTGGTACGACGACGGGAAGGGCGGCGGCGATTTAGTGAACGGAGGAGCATTTAATACGATGCAGGACGGCGGTGGTGCCACCGGCGCCGTGGGGAATCATAAAGAAGAGTCGAAATCGTCGAGCACGACAACCTCGGAGGCAACGTTGTGCTGGAATAACATGCCTTGTATTTCCTAGACTAGAAAGAAATATTGTGTAGGTTACGTTAGGTTATAGTATTGTTGTGATAGACCTTAATTTCTGAGAACTTTTTAATTTTTAATTTGGTATGGATCTTAGGCTGGCGATCAGTAGTTAATTCATCAAACTTCCAAGCCATAGCATGATTGTACTACTGTTGGGTTGTGACGAATGGGATGAGCTTATGTTGTTGTCTGTTCAAACTTTTTCGAGACCAATATATTTTTTTTTTTTTGGTTTTTAGTTCTATATGTGAGTAATTTACTGCAAAGATCACGTCAGCCCAGCTAGCTAGGGCATGTTAACTTCATAATCACAAAATTATTAGTTTTGACTTTCAACGAGAGACACACCCTTGACATTTATTGGATCTACAAATATTATACTTTTTTTCCAAAATTCCGTAATATCTACGTGAATGCCTTTTTTTTTCCCTTATAATATGATATCTTTTTCTTATCTAAGTAATTTTCGATAGAATTGGTGTTAAATGAATCATTACAACCAACATTCCTTTGTGCTTGGTAATTTAAGGCAAGGTATTAATGAGATGAAATGCTTCCGATAGCTTAGGGCTATTCGTGCTAGGAACTTATCGATTGCTTAAGGCAAGGTATAACTTTTGACACCACTATGATAGTTGGGCGATATGATATGATAGGTATGTTTAGCTGAGCTTCTAGCTTGGTTGGGTGACACTTCCCTTGATCCATTGATTGGCTTTCAACTCTAAGTGTTGGTATTATTTACTCCAACACTAATGAATACAAAATGTTTTTTTTTTATTATCTCAAAATGAATATTGAAAATAAAATTACTAAGGTCATTGGACAAATTGAACAACAATTTCCTATTAAATTAGAAACTCTTATATATATATATATATATATATATATATATATATATATATATATATATATATAGCTACAAGCCCTTCTTTCTCATCGTGAAAATTAAGAAATTAAAAACGACAAAGGTAAAACTTTTTATTAGTTGATTTTTGTTATGAGTCTGTTTCTATTTTCTTAAGGGTCAAGTCTATATCTCCATCTTTATTTCTCTTGTTGTATTTACAATAAATTCCTTTTCTTAATAATAATAAGTAACGTAACCAAGTTGGCATATAAAATAATACAGTAAAGTAGATCAATATGGACTACATCTAAGCTTTTTTCCAAAATGTCGCTGAAATGTTGCTTCGATATATTTACTAAATTTAGATACTTGATGGATGATGTAAGAGCAGACAAAATATGCATGTAGTAGTGGATACTAGGAAGACGTCTGCATTAATCATCCTTAAAAAAGGTTCACGCACACCATCTTCCCCTCAATCGTCGCCTACTTTTATTTTTCTTCTTTCCTTTTATTTAAATAATTTCTTCCCATCTTTATGTCCTTAAAAAACCTCACTTTTTTAAGATAAGTTTTCGTCAGATCCTATTTGAAGAGTTATCTCAAACTTGTCGTTTCATTCACTTGGTTCGACTCCCGATCTTGTTTAAGCATAATTAATTTTTTTAAGAAAAAGACTGAGTATGTAGGAGAATGTAAATCATGGTAAGTCAGCTAAATACATAGACTAGACATTTGCTTACTGTGCACAAGAGTCTCTCACTTTAAGAGGTTGCTCTCACATTAACGCGGGTGAGACTCAATCCTGAATCATTGTTCTTAAATTTCACCTGGCCATGTGATTAACTGAGCTGTGCATGCGGACATTATGGTGAAATTCATATATGGATTGATGGATGAGATATTGAGTGTTGACAAGGATGATTGTGCATGCATGGTTGACGTTATGGCGGCATAGAGTTATGGCTTATGTTGAAAATATAATGGTATATTGGTATCCAATTAATGACGTAAGTATATGCAGCATGCTTTTTATAGGGTTTTGTGGATTTGTGGATTGCGAGTCATACGTCAGTAACGTGCTCACGCAATGCCCATAAGGATTAGAGTCAGCAGCCAATGGATAGCATTTATTTCCTTCCATTAAAGCATCCACATTTGTTGGGGATAATATGGGATAATGTAAGAGTGATTAGGAAAGAGAAGATGGGAGGGGAGAGAAAAAAAAAATTAAATTTAAAAAAAAAAAAAATTAGACTGTCAGGCACGCGCCCGTCATACGCACGGCTGTCACCAGTGGTGGCTTTTGTGGTAGGTCCCACCATTTCTGCATTATCTCTTCATTTGCAGACCAATTATTTCTCACATTATCTCTTCCCCACACTAGTTATTATGTTGGGTGGGAGAATTTATTCTGAAATATCTCCCTATTATCCACAAATGTAGATGCTCATCAGAATGCTGAGTTTTAAAAAAAAAATGCTGAGCTATTTCTCTCTCTCTCTTTCGTTCTTCTTTAAATCTTTAAAGAAAGAAATAAATAAATTATTAGCATGCCCCGTTCTGAGAATTGTTAATATGGGAATTGAGGGGAGAATACAAAAATAGAATTTTTTTTTTTTAAAAAAAAGTTATGGGGCAGTCCAATTGCACCACTTGACTATCCTACCACCCGCCGATTTCTTTCATATATTCTAAGTTCATTTAATTGTGTGTAATATGTATGGCCGGCTTTTACTTTTGAGACGGAGGCAGTCATCTTTTGTCACAAAAGTCCAAAATAAATATGAATTTCTATAACTGACGCTCAGATTTCGACCTTGTTTGGTATTAATTAATGAGCCTTAATTGACTTTTGAAATGGCAGCCATTCTTCTAAGACATATGATGACTATTTTAAAAATCATAAATAATTGTACATTTCAGGATCTACATAAGTATATAAGAAGGTCATTACGTGCTAGCCACACCAATAATAAATTGCTGAATAAATAACATTTGGACTCAGTTACACTTTTTTACTCAACTTAAGGTGGTTAGATATTTAGGTTGAGCTTTTTAAAATTAAGCAAAAATTTGTGTAAGATTGTCTCATTAATCATTATCCTTAAAATAGGTCGGACAATATAAAAATATAATACTTATACTAAAAAACATAATACTAATTAAAAATAAAATATTTTTAAGAAGAAAATATAATACTTTTATATTTTGATATTCTTATTTTTCTTCTCATTTACTGGTAATGTTTTTAGGGACGGGCCTGCTGATTCTTTTTCACATCAACGACAGCTAGCAGCTTTAGTACGTAAATTAGTAATCACAGTGGCATTTGGTAATCTTGCAAGATCAATTTTGAAGTGGGTCTGATCTTTTGTCACAATAATGATGGATGTAGCGAAAAAGTAAGGGCCAAAAATATAGTATCATCTTCAAGTTAAGAATCTTGTTTCTTAACTATGTAAGCATCTTATTCCTCAAAAAAAAACTATGTAAGCATCTTTGGGATCTTCTCCGACACCTCTGATGAATTTTGTGTATAATAGTCGTGCATTATCCGCATGTTAAAAAGTTTATAATCAGTTCCATACATATATCAAATAAATTTAGGAGTTGCCAAAGGTCTTGTGGTCAAACGCATAGCTGTGGCCCTCTTGCTTCAATATGTGTGAATGTTATAATAAAAAATGACTTAAAATCAATGTTGAAAAAATCGCTAGGCGCCCTCTAGACGCCTGATCGCCTAGGCGCGATTTTGCAACACGTACTGCTTAAAGTTGTGGCCCTTATAAAAATCTACTCATAAAAAGTCAATGTCACCTCGACTGAAACTCAAACTCATAACATTTTATATGAGAGTGCAATCTTGGCGTCATTAGACTACAAGATTTAAATAGGGGACCAGAGATTATAAATGTGGTTGAGTAAGAAATGTGAATGATGAGTCCATGTAATGTTCATGCAAGGATGGCCTTTCACCACACCCGCCATATTTCAAGCCACAGAACCCTCTACCCACCAATATCACGTGTCCCGGCCCGGTCCCCTGCCAGTGCCCCAGCTCTAAACACTTGTCTTTTCGTTTCTTCACTTAAATTATCCGGCTGCTCCACACTCAATATATCAAGCTAGCCCACTCCGCCGTGGTGGTGCCCGGCGCAACCAATCTATTCCAGATTCTTGTGTACTCATAAGTGACTACACACTCATACCACACAAATATATATAATTATGCATTTTTCTTTCAAATCTTTGGACACCAATTAATTCATCTTTGGCTTTATTTTAAGCATTATTATTGCTTTATTTTGAATGTGTTACTAGTGTATATATATGTGGTAGTCCTGACATAAATCATTAGATAATAAGATCACTGGCATAAACCATTAGATAACAAGATCATATATTAAAGACTTGAAAATAAATTTAAAGGGTGATTGATTGGAGAATGAAATAGCTAGCTTGAATCACTCGGAATGGTTCACGAGTTTGTCTATATTAAGTATTGATGATGAATTGTGAACCATTTTCTGGTACGAAAAGGGATATTTATATGTACATATTGAGGACGTCTAATAGTTAATTATGTCATTACATAAAGATTTTGATCGACAATTTATGCCCATTGACCTTAGGAGGACTAAATTAGTTGAATTTTGATCGACAATCTATGCCCAATGACCTTAGGAGGACTAAATTAGTTGTTAAATCATAGACCAGAGTCCAACTTCACCTTACAATGTAGAACCTAGTTAAAAACTATGTCGTTTCGTAGTTTTCAGAAGCAGTGTCTTTAATTGCACCTTTTTTTCGCGCAATCATAAATAACTTTGATACTGCGGCCTACGGATACATAATTTGTTAATTGTTGATATATAATCTGTTAACTTGTTAATTTTCAACCAAATATCTCTTAAAATTATATCATAGACATGATAGACATGATTACATGTACTGTTAAACATTGTTCAAAACTACATTTAAACGCAAACTAAATACAACCGCATAACCAGGACTATGTGGTCCAATGGTACCTGGGTTGGACTTCCATTTGGAAGGTTGTAAGTTCGAGCCTCAGTGGAGGCGTTATTAGCTCTTTGTGTTTTAGTAGGTTGAGAAAGTATATGAACAGATACTACAATGTAATAGAGCTAGTAGCATTCAAAAAAAAAAAAAAATACAACCGCATAATAATAATTGTACTAATAAACAAGGAATAAGACTACAAAGCCAATACAACAAGCCAAGTTTATAAGCTGCGTAAATATAATACAAGTTCATAAACTTAATATACTAACTTCTTAAGGTATTGACATACTCAATTTATGAACATAAACTTTAAGTTTATTTATCTACAATTCACATATTATGAACTTAGAACATGATTAGAATTATTTAGCATGATATACTAGCTTATGGTTTACTACAAAGGTAATACTCCGTACTAATTTAAACAGAACAATGTCATTTTATTTAGACTAGGATCTACAATGTGAAGTGATCTGGGTCAATTCCACAATATAATTTGCCTGACTGATTAACCTAAAGATGAAGAATGACTTGGTTGAGCCTAAATAGCTTGTCATAGCAAAGTTTATTGGACTAGACCTAATAAGTAAAATTTCATGAAGAGTAACTTGCATCTATTTAACTACTGTAGTAGGCATAAGGGGGCATATTTTTCCACATTTTAAACATTAATCACCCAAGAAAATACAACCCCATCACTAAATGTAAACTGATTCGGCCCAATAAGGTGAAATTGTATTTAAGTTAGCAGATACTTCAATTCTTGTGTGCAAGGGCTCACTGGCACTGCAATATATATTATTGATCTGCACTTATTAAGAATGCACATTATAATCCATCGAGCATCACTTACAATTTTGCCTGCTCGGCAAAGGGTGGGAAAACAAGACCAAAAAAAGCTAGCAGTGAGAGTCGCCTGCCTGCGTTTTCATGGCCGCTTTGGCAGAGACACTCTCGTCTACTAAAATGGAGAACATCTGCACAGCCGCTAAGCCCTCTTTCTGTTCACCTATCTCTCCCTCTTTCTCTCCATGGGTATCGCTATTTTATATCTTCAACCTATAGAAATATAGAACAGAAATGCAGGTCCGGTGAGCCCGCCCTGCCAGTTTTGCATCTTCCAGAGGTTGGAAGAAACGCCATGCCAGCCAGTTTCAGAAAGCAGCATTCCACAGGACTTTCTCTCCCTCGCCACACCGCCTGTGGACTTCCTTTATCCTGTCAACTGTCCTGCATATCCCGCTGCACGTCCAGTCAAATGAAGCAACGCAAATGTTGCCCGCCTGAGCCTTCCATTCACAATCTGTAGCAAACAAGTGCATATATATATAAATATATAGTTAACAAAGGAGACAACTTCATCTTGTTCAAATGTTCGATTATATAAACTTTTAGTTGAAAAGGAACACAGAAATAGACTTATAGTAGTTTTACCAGGTGGAGTTCCACAGCATAATCTCCGATCATCTACGTGGTGCACATCTAGCCCAATAAACCAGGCCCCCAATGAGACATCCTCGTTAGCATATTTGTGCAGTACATGTCTGCCAAGTTATAAATTAAGATTATCGTCTTGTCTGATTTGCTGAAACATATGTCATATATAGTGATAAACAAAATGTGCTTAACTGGTTCGCTGAAATATATGTAGCCAAGTCTTTTGAGATGGCGTATAATTGTCCTGTAGCATGACGGAAATATTTGTTCCCAGTCTCCCCAAACTTCCAATACTCAGGTTCATGGTATCTTACTCCCCTGGTTCATGAAAATCAACTTCATATCTTCACATCTTCTTCACTAAATATAGTTCAGATCAGCAGAACGAAAGAAATGCTTACTTCTGAGATAGAACAGGTCCAGATTTCATGCACCCAATATACACTCGTGGTTTCTTACGGTGTCTAGCTAGCGTTTCGCCTAGTGTTCCTGCAACAATGGCAGTCACTCATAAGTCATCAGATCAGATATAAGTAAAGAGTTGCAGGATTAATTGAACTAGCTAGCCTGTTACCTATATTTACATGGACATCATCATCTACTTTTATGTAATACTCTGCATCCCATAGCTTAACAGCAGTGGAAAAATAAGTCTTCGTCTTGGCAGACAGCTCAAGATACCCCTCAACATGATCCTGTTTAGATTGGCACAAGAGACATTAAATTTTTGTTTAACCAGCCAAATTCGTCAGGCTGTTTACTTGGTTAGTAACCACAATGCTACAAGTTCGATTCCCAGCTAGAGGGGCCTATTGGCGTTGGCTAGAGGCACGGGACAGAATTTACTCAATGCACAGCATCGAATAGTGGTGGCTGGTAGGTATAAAAAAGAAGCAGTTTTGAGCATTACCAGTCTCAAGAAATCTCCATGCTTTTTATCCTCAGCTTCAATAGCTCTGTCTAGAATACCACCTACTGTCGCACTGCAGGACAAACAAATGGTTCCATTAATGCTGCCCAAGTCATAAGATCGAACACTTGGAGTGCAAGTGTTAATCAGAAGAGGAATGTAGATCTCTACCCGTGACCGATTACAAAGCGAATGACTACCCCTTTCTCTTCTTCTAGCTTCTTCCTCTTTTCACCTATTTCATCGTATCAAAAGAAAAAACGCAATAATGTATAAGAAGAACAGTCAGATTTTCCAGAAAATTTAAGGAAAAGGGCAGAGAAGCAGTAAGAAACCTTGTGGCATCCACGTGGTGCGAACTGAATCTCTTCGTTTTCTGCTACTAAATGCAGTGTTTATTCCTATAACCATGAAATATTTTCTTCTTTTAGATGAACCGCTCTTCTCACCGTCCTCCGACATAGGAGAGCCACTAAGAATTGATTCCTGAGCCGCCTTTGCAGCAGCCAACTCCATCTCCAAATTCGAAATGGTTTTATCTAGCGTCCTGCAAAATTGTACAGTTAATCATTCAACATATCAGATGAATGAAGTGCAAATCGCATTTTACCCAAAAAAACAAATCATAATCTGGACGAGGAGAGAGGAATGAGGAATGAAACAACGGCAACTCACTGAATGGCATGATGCGTTTTAGAAACTTCCCCAAAAACGTCTTTGGATACTTTCACATCTTTCGGCTGCAACTACATGAATGCAGACAATATCGTCAAAAACATGAAAAGCAGAAGATTAACAAGAGACCAAAGTTCGCCTTTCGATTCGATTTTTAGAGGGGAAGAGATAATAGATACTCACATATTTTGTACCGCAACCTTCCGAGATCAACTTCAGACCTTCAGTTTCAGCTGAAGGTGTTATTGTAATCCCTTTTGACTCCGGAACAGTCCACATTCTGTCACAAGTTAATTTCATTATTGCAAAACCATCATCTCAAGCCCTCACAAAAATGATAAAATTCCGGGACAACCCAACCAAGTTAGTCTGGTTGTTGTCTTGCTAATCAGATTTGAATCAGTCACCTATGAACAACCTGACCTAGTTTACCTCCGGAATTTACCATTTCCATTTTCACTCAAAAAAAAAAAAAAAAGTTTGTGAAGTAAGTTCAAAATTCATTGGTTTCATCGAAATCTGAAAACTATGTAGATCTGCACCTACTTCACCAATGAGGTTTCTCAGGCAACAGAGAACATGCATGGTACTCCATACATAGGGAGAAAAAAAAAAAAAAAGAGAGGCAAAATCCTATACATTACAAAAGGCTAGAAATGCAAATAAAAAACATTGGAATTTCTTGAAAGCATTTATATATTAGAGCTAAGGCAACCAAAAAGATTGCCATTCAAAGCACACAGAATGAAGCAAATCGCCAGGAATATGTTCCCAAAGACAGCCAGATGAAAACCAATTCAAATTCAATGGAACCAGAAAAAAAGGAAGAGGACCACAAGCAGAAGAGCATATATGCATATTGCAAATAAACTCAAAAGATATGAACTTTTTACCTGTTGGTGAAGAACACTCCCGCACAGAAGCTACTGATACAAAGCAAAAGCGTCCATTTTTTAGAAATTAGACTTTTGGAAACCACCTCCCCGCCTCCACCTCTGCTCTTCACAGACATTTCTGGTTCAAATTCTCTTCTAGCTCCCCCAAAACCTTTACCTCTGTTACCAAAAACCCATTCCCAGAACTGATTGAAAGGGAGTTAGTTGTTGGAAGTTGGAACGCACTTTAAGGAAGATACTAAGCTATATTGTAAGCCTGTACCTATGACCTTCCTAGGTGCTATAAAAGGATGCCTTGTTTGAACTTGTGGGTATGCATAGTTTGTTCTTTTCTTTTACGGAGTATCCTCTGCCCTCTCTCTCTCTCTCTCTCTCTCTATCTCTCTCTAGATGTACAGAACTACACTTTGCAGGGAAGACACTGGGAACAGCAGTGAAGGAGGAGACTTACTAACTGCTCAAGATCACCAAATTTACCAAACTGTCCTTGTCACAACTACTGTTTCATTATTAAATGCTCCTCTGTAACTGAAACAGTTCATGTTACATACGGTACATGCCCTTATCTTTAAGCTTTATTCGCATATTAAATTGCCCCGACAGTTTGTCAGATGCGTTGCTAAAATTAACACACTTTGGCAGAGAGTCGGCTGATGCCAAATAGATTAAACGGAATTCTAAATCTTTCATAACCATATATGCATCACTATACTTAGTAGTAACGTGGGATCTGATTGAGTGGAAGAGATTTATCTATCATTGGCTTTGAGCCTAAAAGATCTTAAATTTCTATGCCAGTTGTCTACTCAATGGGAGTGTTTATAATTCAGTGAGAGAATTAGTCAAAATTGAATTTGTGACTTTTAAATATGAAGTTATGTTTCATCCGTTCAGTTATCTCTTTCTATTGTTATATTATTGAATTTGTGATTTTTAAATAAGAAGTAATGGTATTGTCGTTTACTCATTGTTTCAAATTGTTGAGTTGATTTAGATTATAATTTGATGGAAAGTTATACAATAAATGCACCTAATATGGTAAGACGCGTAATAGGGCATTTCGTTGTCGATGAAATAAAGTTGGTGGTTTTATTTTTGTCCACACAAGATGGCAAATGGAAATGAGAAGGTTGACTTGATTGGTATGCCCATAGAGTCTATTCACCACAAAATCATATTTAAAACTGTACTGGAAAACAGTTGCCATTATTTCTTCCCTATTTTACATGCTAATAAGGCAACAAGGACATGCAGATATTTAGGGTGTGTTTGGTTGGTGGGTTTTGCCCATAGGAATGGGTATGAAAGTGATTGTTGTTGTTTGGTTGATAGGTTTTTAGAACACTACTACGGGTTTCGAATACCCCATCAATTGAAAATCCCATACCCAAATAGAATAAGGGTTTCATTCGCTTATTCATTCTCAAGCACTACTATTAGTAACCATTCCCATTCCACCCTACTACCAAACATGTTAAATACTTTCACCAAAACCCATTACCATTACCAAGTATTTGATACCCATTCCAATTCTGATTCCTATGTGCAAACCAAACACACCCTTAATCAGTTGTTAGATAACTTTGCATCTAACACCTTGCTTACACATGCATGTTTCAACGGTTAAGTACTCCGTAATTAACATTATGGATAACTCTAACCAAGTTAGTCGAACAGTTACGTTAATTAGTCCAATTGGGAACTACAAGGTTCTGAGTTTAAATTTTTGTCACAACTATTATGTAATTGACATTATGAGTAACCTCAATCAAGTTAGTCGCTCGAATAGTTGGTCATATGGATAACATAAGGTTCCAAATTTAATTTCTTGTGAAAGTTGTATATTTGTATTTTTAGTTTGAGCCGATCAATTATACATAACATATATTAATTTATCTCATTGTAATTTTTTATTGAGTAGGTCACAAGACATACTTCATTTGAATAATTGTTGCAAACTTTCTTATAAATTAAAGAATTAAAATTATCAACTTCAAAAGTTGGGTTTCACGTAGACATCTGATTCAAATTCAAAAACCGACCAATCAAAAGAATAAAAATACTTACAACTGGAACTCCATGATACTTGAGCATTCTTCTGATCTGGACCTACTTCCTTTATTAAATATTAATCCAGTTCAATTTGTTCCCCCATAATTCGTTTAGAAGAGAATTGAAAATTATATCTGTTATTTTTGTAATTATCATTTGCAAATTAGCACTACTGTTTTAAAATTAGTGAAAGTAATTATATTAAAATTTATAATATCACTGTGTTAATACCACTACTATTTCAAATTAAGTTGTGGTAAATCTAAACAGAAAAAGATTAATATAAAAGAGAAAATTGGTCAAAAAGCCAACAAATCAAGGAAGGGAAGGTAGTGTTTAGTAGAGAGGTTAGAGCCTAGAGGATGGCACATGATCGTCCAACGAGGCAGGGGGCACCTGCTCCGTAAAAAAGAATTCCCGGGAGCACGTGAGGTGGGACACGTGGCACGTTACTGCTGGGACCGGTTGGGTCCACCGTACCTTAATGTGTTCACAAATCAAGTAACAGCCTCCATTCCTCCCCACTTGGACGCTGGAAAAGCCTCCATCATGACGTGGGATCCACATCACGAGCTCCTCTCATACGTGTCATCACGGCATCATCTCACTCCCCCCACCCACCCACCCCCCTTCACCGTTTTAACGACGGAAAAGTCGAAAACTAACTCAGAGTTCACCCCTTTTTGCCCCCGCCGGTGAGGGTAATATTCTCGTTATCTTCTACCACAATTTTTTTATTTATTTTTTACTCCAAAATATTAAAAGATAACAAAAGAGAGTAAACATTTTAAGAAGCTGTAACTCACATTTACATTTTTTGTTTACTAAACACAAAATTTTATATAATTAAGAGCAGATAAATATCAAATATTTAATACTCCATTAGTTTCATTTTACTTGTTTAGTTTAGTTAACGAAGTTTAGCTGGAGTTATTTTGAATTTAATTTTTTAAAACATTAAGTTTAGTATTAGTATATAAAATTTATAGATTTCGAAACTACATTATTAGATGTATTATAAAATACAAAGTTTTAAATTTAAAAATAATTAAAAATTAATAAAGAAAATAATCGAAGAATAATTAATTGGTTTGACCAATTAATAATAAACAAAGATAAAATGAGACAAATAGAGTAATATTTTACTAAGGATAAATATGTATATAGTATCAGCATTTTCACACAAAAAAAGTAGTAAAAAAATATTATATTTTCATTAAAAATTATTATCTATCTTGCATACTAGCTCAAATTAAGAAGGTCAATCAATAAGTCGCTCTGACTAAAAATCGAACTTGAAACATTGTGATTGTCAAGACAACCACTTGACTAATTTGGTTGGGTATAACTAAATTTACCTGTCTTTTTCAATGAGATGTAAATGCGAGACGTGGATCTTTGGAGTTTAACCAAAAATATCAAAAAAAAAAAAGTATATATATATATATATATATATATATATATATATATTAGCGTTTTGCTGCCCTTTAAAGTCCTATTGGACACGAACTCAATTATTTTTAATTTATAAGGTCTTTGTCTACATGAAGCTTGACTTCCTCCTCCGTCGAAAGGGGAGAGTTTGAGGAGGCGTAGCCCGACGTCGTAAGGGAGAACGTCCCGGTGGTCTTGGCGTTCGACGGGAGCCCGTGCTCTGTTCCGTCGAAGGGTACTTCAAGAAGGAGAATGGAGGAGTATTTGGGCGGGAGAGATGATCAGAGTTTCTTGATGTTCAGAGGGTGTTAATATCATGTATAAATGGTGCACTCATGGCGCAAGTGAAAGGAAATTTCGAAACTAGCCTCCAAATTAATCATTGTTAGACGGCTGACTCAACTGAGGACCAAATTGATTAACTTTTTGATAATTATTTTTTAATTATGCGATAATTGGATAAAAAATAAAGTTAAAGATTAAATCAGTAATTTTGCAATAGTCAAAGGACCAAATCGGTAATAAACTCTTAATTTTATTTATCAATTTAAATTCCAAAATTTGAAAATCACCCAAGTCCAGCATGTACGTCAATGTAATTTTCGGAAAGTTAAAAGGAATGCATATTTCGGAACCCAATGGTCAAGGAACACGTGTATCGGTTTTATCTCCTAGAAGTTAGTAAGTGAATCTTTGATAAAACCAGAATAATCTAATCATATAATCACAGAAAATGTTACAGGATACACTTAATTATTGCTTAGATCTCTATAGGGACATTAGTACGTACTCTTCAACGTTAGAATGCATTTTTGTTTAGCATTTCAAATAATTTGTTAGAACAGGACAAGGCAGTTGGTATTTAACATACTGATCTGATGCCATGTCGCATTGCCGCATTGGAATGCATCATGCATGCATGTTACTTTTTTTTTTTTTTTTTGAATGAATGAATGAAAAAAATTCATTAAACAGCTTCCGAATACAGAACATCATAAATAAAAAAAGGCCAGAGTTCAAACTACTCCCTACAATAAGACATGGAAAAGAACTCCCAAGTTAACATATAAGCAATCCGATTCACTAATAATCATTTAGCAAATGAGATAAAACATTTGATAATAATGTTGATAGTGGATTTTTAACATCAAGTAATATTATATCAAAATTAGAGAAACTTGTTATCATTATCTGATGATATGCACTAGGTAAATCACATATTACGATCATAGTTGGCAAAGAATTTTCCATAGCTTAAAATAAGTCAATTGCACCGTTTGGTTAGTGTTTTTATTTTTTTAAAAATGAGATATTCCTTTGACAGGAAAATGACTATTATGATGAAAGGCTTGGTATTAGGCTATTTTCAAGTTCTCATAAATAATTTATTTTTTAATGCCTAATTTCCCGTTGTTGTTGTTGTTGTAAAAATTTATTTATTATTTACTATTAACTCATAAACTCAATAGATAATTAATTAGATGATGAAATCATATCACTCAAAGCGTTTTACATATGATATAATATGTAAGTACGTAACACCATGATTACTAATAATTTTAAGATATTGATACAGTACAAGGATTAGAACTTTTTCATTTTGAAATAAAATTCATATTTTATTATTTACCTAATTTGCTTTGGGAGATGACTTTTATTTCTTAAAATTCATTATGTAAATTAAATATGACGGTATAAAAATATTGTAACATCTGATCCTTAAAAAAACAACAATTATATCACCAATGATCAAAATCAGTTACATGCAATACATGTGACTCATTTTGAAGAATAAAATCGTCTTTTTTCCACTAATTCTCTTATCAATACCAATCGCACACACAACAGAGGCTCCATATCCCTTTTAATTTGTTTGTGTCTAATCTAATTGAGGACATTGGCAAAACTTGCAGGCAATATGTTATTTCACTTCTAGTCCATGAATTATAACGA